ACAGTTACATGTTGGTTAGGTGTTAGAGGGACGTGGTGGGCAACCCTTTGGGTAGCTTGACCTACCCGGTATTGTGCTATAAACATCTGCATTACTTGCCCACTATAGACGTTCATAACTATTTGGTCTGAGGGCCTTTACCCTCTCTATTTACCCTTTGCCCCACTAGTTGGTCGTTCCATTAATAGGTAGCTTGAATTCCTTCCATTTCATCCACTTATTCAACTCATCCCTCTAAATACACTTGGCATAAACACGTTGTGTCAACCTCTTTTAACCACCCACCTACATCTAGAAAATTGGATCAACATTCGGAATGAATGGATTTCTTGCTAGTAAATGTGTTAGAGGATGCAAGACAACTGTGATGAGTTATTCACCAAACCCATGTTTCTCACTAGGGGTGCAACTCGGGCGGGTTGGACAATCAACCCTAACCCAACGCTAGGTATATAATCTTCAACCTTAACCCTAACCCTAACCCTACCTTGGGTTAGGAAACTCAACCCAAGCACTGCCTGAGTTTAATTCGGACGGGCTCGGGTTGATGATTTTGAGTTACTTTACGAGTTCAATTCGGGTAGAGCCCAAAATAGGCTTGTTGTTCTAAACCAAATACATATATTACATAATATTCACCTAAATTAACAACTAATAACTTCAACCAAGTTTTTAACGAAAGAGGCTTAGAAAACGAGAGAGGCAAAGAGAACGATAGAACAAAAATAAAAAATCAGTACTAATGCTTTATTTATATATATAATTTTTTTTTAATTTGTCGGGTTTGGGTTGAATTCGGATTCACGAGATCTTAACCCGAGCCCAACCCAAATTGAATTCGGGTTGATGTTTTTTAACTCAAGTCCAATCCAAGTATTAAAAACTCTTGACCAATCTCTAATTTTTTCGGGTTGAAATAGGGTTGCCCAACCCAAGGTGCACCCCTATTTCTCACAAACTTTATTTTCAAAACCAGTCAATTTCAATATTATTTTTCAAATTCAATCATTTTTTAAATTTATCATTGTAAGTTATGCCTTTAACCTAAAAACCTCATTCCAAATGTTGTCCTTAAACAAAACAAAACAAAAAATGTGTAAAAACGTCCTTTGCAATGATGAGATAATAAAGAAACAAAGCGAGATGGTGAATAAATTTTCATCACAAACTCGATTAAGGATGTATGGTCCTTATGTCAAACATATGAACATAGGATCAATTTGATCAAGTGGACCGTCCAAATTTGATCCTTTGCAATGATGAGATAATATTCTAAAAATATTCATTTGTAACGACGTTTTCAAAATGACCGTATTTAAAAAATAAGATTAAAATTGATTAGTTTTGGAAATAAAAATAGTTAACTCTGTTATGATATTAATGATTCCTTTTGACCTTCATCTTCTTTATCTTTATTTTTCTAATATTTGTAAAAAAAATATTCTTATTATTTATATTGGTACCGTCACACTTTTGTCTTATCTCGACGGGGTGAAAATGACTAAGGAATAGTCAAAAACCTCATTATCTAATAGGAAGAACTGAGAGAACAAACTGAAAATTCAAAATATATTATTGAAGAAAATTCCTTTGTTATGCCACTTATTATCTTATTTGTTAATAAGTAATACTTTAGAGATTGAAAACTAAGATAAAAAATATTTCTAAATAAATTTCGGTTCCAGAACAAACAAAGAAACTACCAAAAGCATCATGAAATTAGAAAACATTACTTTGACAACCTAGACTACGAAATTTTCCTAAAATTTGAACACTTCCATGGCGAAGTGATAGAGGATTTCGATGTTTCCAATTTCCAATTAACCAAGTGGATTTCGTGCAATTTTGGGGGCTCAGATCTGTTATGTCTATGGTTGCATTTTTTGATTTCTGCTTGGTCCAACCATTCTATGAAGTCCGTTGCACCAATGTCATAGATTTTATTTTCCCACATAAAACATACATACCAACATCGTGGGAACAAGAACACCCAGGTCCTAATAAAATCTGTTTGTGACTCCAAGTTACCATGACTTCTTTGGTTAATTTTTTTTTTTTTTCTATTTTTCTGGAGTTTGCATATCACAGACCTTTCTTCCTATATTGCCTACCAGTTCTAGACCTATTGAAAAATGTTAAAAGTGCAAGCCATAATAGGACGGCAAACATCCACATAGGGCAATGCTGTATTAGATTTGGGAGAAATAGCTCATGTTCCCATAATTTCATTTTCTACAATGAGCCTTTCCCTCTCATTGATTCAAAGTCCATATTTCTTTCGTGTCACATCTAGTGACCCATCTCAAGTAGAAGCCATAGCTACAACTGTTAATGCCTGTGGATGGAGAGCAGTCTTGCCCATATAAATAGATAATGAGTTCGGACGGGGTCTCATACAATTTTGATCAACGCCTTGCAAGAGATTGACACTCGTGTACCCTATAGGAGTGCCATTCCTCCATTGACCACAGATGAAAAAATTGTTGCAGAACTTCAGAAGTTTATGGCAACGCAAACTAGAGTTTTCATCGTGCACATGTTGCCCTCCCTTGGCTCTAGGCTCTCTACCAAAGCAAAAGAGATTGGAGATATTAGTGAAGGATATGTCTGGATCATAACCAGTGGCTTAACTAATGACTTGAGTTCATTAGATCCTTTGGTCATTCATTTCATGCAATGAGTAATAGGTGTAAAACCTTATGTTCCCCAAATAGAAGAGATCAAAAAATTCAGCATTCAATGGAAAAGGACATTCCAACAAGATAATTCAGGTGTACCTATGGCCGAGTTGAGTGTTTATGAACTATGGGCATACGATGCTACCAAGGCACTAGCCATAGCGATTGAGAAAGTAGGGGATACAAATATTGGCTTTGAGAAGGAAAATGCGGCTAGAAATCTGACAGACCTTGAAGCACTTGGAGGTTCTAAACATGGTTCGAAGCTTATTTAGACACTATGAAGTTTGACATTTAACTTAGTGGTGATTTCAACACAGCTGATGCCCAACTACAATCATTAGTTTATCAGATAATTAATGTGATTGACAATGGGGAGAGAGTGGTCGGATTCTGGATAGAAGAAAAAGGAATGCGTAGGGATTTGAATTCCAAAAATCCAAATTCAAATTCCATTGTGAATGCTAATTTTAAAGCTATCATATCCCCAGGTGATATCGCATCTCCTCCAAAAGGCTGGGCGATTCTGACAAATGGCATAAAGCTAAGAATTGGAGTACCAGTTAAGGATCGTTTCCCAGATTTTGTAATGGTATCCTGAGATCCTAGAACTAACAAGATGACAGCCTTAGGATACTGCATAGAAGTCTTTGAAGCTAGAATGGCAACATTACCGTATCATATTCCTTATGAAAATATACTTGTCGCAAATCTTGATGGTAAGATGGATGGTACATACAATGACTTGGTGTATCAAGTGTATCCCAGGGTAACTCTCTCTTTCTCTCTCTCTCTCTCTCATTTTCATTTTATTGAAAATATAGAAAATATATTGCAAATAGTTCCAAAGAAAAACTTTAGGCTTAACAATTATGGGAAAACTTGCAGGCAGGTAACATATTTGACAGCAAAACAATTTGCAAACATTGTTTCTTCCTTATTGGTGATAAGAAATTGTTCTCTACATAGATTTTTGGCTATGCTTAAACCATTCATGCTTATTTATGAGGCTTTGATAAAAAATCATTCACCTTGAACTAGTCATACACTTTCATAGGATGAAAAATAAATTCATAACTCTTCCTTGATAATGGGAATTTTGCTTATGTGGATAATGTACAGGAGTATGATGCTGTAGTTTGAGATGTTACTATCATAGCAAACAGGTCCCAATATGTGGATTTTACTCTGTCGCACATCGAGTCTGGTGTATCAATGATCGAGCAAATCAAGTATAAAAATAACATGGATGCACGAATGTTCTTGAAGCCATTTGCCGACAAACTTTGGGTGACAATCTTTTGTTCATTTGTTTTCGTTGGTTTTGTGATATGGGTTCTAGAACATCCAGTAAACTAAGATTTTAGGGGGCCAACCTTCACTTCATATTCGCATGATGTTCTGATTCTCCTTCTCAATCATGGTTTATGCTATCAGCAATTTTCATTTCTCCTATTTTCACTAATATTGATTCTTTTTGTAAATATCACGAGTTCGTGGGGATTATTTGAGTGATTGTGCTGATAATAGTGACCATGGTGTTAACGGCTCAACAACTTTAACCAACTATTATTAATGCAAAAGAACTTTTAAGGAATGGGGAGTATGTGGGTTACCACAACGACTCTTTCATTTTACAACTCTTGCAGCGGATGAACTTCGATGAGTCCAAGATTAGAGCCTTCAACACTCCATACGAATGTGATGCCTTCCTTTCTAAAGAGAGTGAAAATGAGGGTATTGTAGCTGCTTTTGATGAAACACCCTACGCAAAGCTTTTCCTTAAAAAATATCGCTCCAAATATACCATAGTGGAACCAACATATACAATTGATAGATTTGCCTTTGTAAGTCCTTTCTCTCTCTCTCTCTCTCTCTCTCTCTCTCTCTCTCTCTCTCTCTCTCTCTCTCTCTCTCTCTCTCTCTTCCTCTCTATCTCCTCAAGTGACTGAATAGAATATTCCATTGATAATAGACAGGTCTTCCCAATAGGCTCCCCTCTAGTCCCTGATATTTCAAGAGCAGTGTTAAATGTGACAGAGGGTGACAAAAATGCTATAAATTGAGAAGAAGTGGTTGAAGAAACAAGCCAATTGCCCAAACCCTACTCACTTGGTTTCTACAAATAGCCTCGGCCTTGAGAGCTTTTGGTTCCCATTTGTTCTTTTTGCGTTTGTTTGGATTTCAGTTCTCACTATATTTTTGGCAAAATTCCTGCATAATCATTAGGATGTCATCACACACTCTGATCCCCAAACCTCAAACCACAGAGATAAACATGAGAATGCATGTGGAGAAATAGGTCAAGCAATAATACTAGATTGAGGTAAATTCTATGAGACACACCCAATCAAACACATCGTGTTTGCCTTTTTTGGTTGAGGTGAATTTTTAATAAACATATGACTTGATCTTAATCGTACACCCAAGTATAAGTGGTCAAGTTATAATATTACTCGGTGAAGTTCGATGTAAAATCCGTAGGGAGTTATCTGTTGGAACTTTAAAATAGAGAGGGTGAAATTACCATGCGAGTAGTGTGCATTACAACAACTTATGATGTGAGCTTAAAAATTAATAAATAAACACTTAAACTAAACTTTGACTATAGCCAATTGAAAAGGTACTCTTTAGTTCAGGAATTCAACATGCATTCTATTGCTTGACTATGAAAATGCCAACTTACACAAATTCACCATATCACAGCAATTGTTAAGTTAGGCGGAATGTTTGTGCACCATACACCAACCAAATAACTATAGTAAACCCGAAGGTGAATCATTTAAATGGTTTACTATAGCTATTTGATTGGCAGGTCTATGTTTCAATGAAGATGGAGTTTTGATTTATGCATTGAATCAAAAGAATTGGCTATGGAAAGATTTAACCCATCTATAATCAATATCTCAACTGTTTCATACATTTCAATTACATGCATCATTGTATCATGCATGAAGGGCTCATTTGATAGACATATTATGAGAGGATTAAATATTATATTGTACTATTTTTTATTAATCAGATATAATACTTTGTTTGGTAAGAAATTTTGAGTTTGTATTAATTTTTAAAACGTATACTAATCATATACTTTTTGTATATTTTTTATACAACAGACCCGTATTATGAAGATATTTTAATACCACCAGAAAATGTTGATTCAAACTATTCTGTGATCAGATTTATATAATACTCCCAAGTATAAGTGGTCGAATTATAGTTTTCTCGGTTTAAGTCCAAGATCGATCCCACGAAGAGTTTTTAGTAATTTAGAATTTAAAATAAGAATAGTGAAGTTATTATTAAAGTAGTGTAACAATAGATAGCTTGTGATGTGAGCTTAGATTTATAACTAATTTAAATAAATAAAATGTGCAAATAGGGTATTAAAAGACAATAATTTGGAAGTGAAGAGGCCATGTATATATATAGGCAAAGCTCAAAGCAAGAGGTGGAGAATAAAGATGAGCCACAAAGGGCCACTGTCTGGACGCCAAGAGCCACTGTCCAGACAGCGGCGCCTTGCTAGAATTTTGCTCTTGATCATGCTGTCATGTTTGCTTCTCTTGGTTGATTCATACTTTGATCCCTTGATCTTTCAAGCTTTCACAAATTGATCCTCGTAATTTTTGGCAATTCCGCACAAAAACCCTGATATTTCAAACACTAAAACAATTAAAATCCTAGCTTACGCACAAACCCTAATTAACAGTTTTTAAATGTTTTATCTTATTAAGTTAGTTTAATTATTATGTTAATTCATATCCTAATTAGGGTTAATCAAATGTGGTATTATAATCCAGATCAATGTATTATTTTACAAAATTACTATTATAACCCCCATAGCTAATAAAATCAAGAATACACTTTGTCAAACGCACCCTTCTCACTCTCATTGTTCTTAACCGGCTGCTATCAACAAGAGGCCTTCGTCTCTGCAAGGTCGACAAAACCATAGGACTATGGTAAAAGATGCATCACTTTTCGAGTTTGGATCGATAATAGGTCCGTTTAAATGATATTCTATTTGGATTTATTGAGTATCAGATTTTTTTTTCATTTTTTTTTTTGTTATTTTGATCTTCTAATGGTTCATCCTTTTTGGACCAAAAAAATAAAAAACATGCTTCAGCTTGTCGAACATACAATCTCTTCACATACCAAAAAAAAACAAAAAATGGGTGTACGGTCTCTCGGTTATGCTTTGGATTTTCGGTCATGCTTTGTCTTTTCCCATCATGCTTCATCTTTTTGTTCATGCAATCTCTTCAAACAAAAAAAAAAAAAAAAATCATGCAACATCAACATATTTTTTTGGTGTCCTAAGTGTTGTTGTAAAGCTTTCCGGTTGGGATCATAAAATTATCACTTTTTTGCTTTGGAGGAAAACTATAATAAGACGTTGAGAATTAATCCTACCTATTATTTAATTAGATTATTTGCTTATTATAGTTAGTTCTTTTCCCCCATGGGATTGTAGTTGTTGTATAGTATTCTGATAGGTTGGGAAGAGTTTAAGGTAATAATTAATTTGAGTAATTTTTTTTGCTTTATGAATTTTAACATGTTTTCCAAATAATATAATCTATCTTTTTTAATGTATAAAGAGCAAAATGCGGATGGGATAAGAACCAAATCCTTTCCATTTTATAATCAATTGTGTCATATTTGAGAAAGATATGGCCACAGGTGAACATGCGGAGGCTCCAGGTGACTTTCTTGAGGAGCTGGCTAGAGAAGGAGTAAATGGTGGATCCACCAATGAAGTTGAAATGGTGGGTTATGATGACATTGGGGGGTCCAATGGAGTAACTCAAAACTCGAATGAAAATGTTGGGTCCTCGCTTGGAAAATAAAATAAGAGGAAGAGAGTTGATTCTGGATTAGGAGATATTAAAAAAGTACTTACTTCTTTTCTTTTCGAGAGTACTCAAGTACTAGGGGACATGGCTAAATGCTTGGGATATGCATATGACATTGTTGACAAAAGAGCTGTGGTCTATGGTGTACTTTAGCAAATTGAGGGGCAAAATTTCTTTGGTAGAATAAAAGCTGGGCAGATAATTATGAATTATCAGAAAATGGTCGACTACTTCTTCAGCTTTCTCGATAGTGTGAAGCCATATTGGTTGCAAATACTTATTGGTGGTAAACTTTAAAGTGAGAAGATTTTCACTTCAGTGACGAATTCATGTCATTTTCTAGTTTTAGTAATAAATAAGTTTACCTAACATTGGCTTTAATGTGACTTTAATTTTTTTTTTTAGATTTTATTCATAGTTTTTAGTTGTTATGTGGATTTGTAATGGTTTTGAGAATGATTTATATAAATGCATTGATTCAAATAAAGTTTTATTTTTTTGATTGATGGTATTTTTATTGATATTATTGTGAATTAATTATTACTATTATTAACTCAATGGAATTTTTTTAACTTAATGAATTTTTTTTTGTAAGTATAAAATGAATAAACTTGATCTTTTTGATAATGGGGGTAAATCTCGATCATATTCCCAATTAATGCCGATGGTATTTGGAGGGGATCATGATATCATTTATGTTGTTGGCAGTGCCAAACACTATAATTGATTGAGGATATTTTGTTAATTTAACATTAATACGATGAAATAATTCTCTAACCAAACAATAGATTTGACTAAATAACGACTATCCAATGCTTATATTGTGTATGTCAAACACTAGATAAAATTACGTATTATTCTAAAACCTCATTTAATCTTATATTTTATCCATCTTTATTGTATTAGCCTACATTACTTTATCTAATTCGTCAATTTCTAATACGACAACCAAATGAGCTCGAAGTACATAATAAAGTATAAATAGAATGAAAATAAACAGTAAACCTAGCTAGGTACTCGTAACCATGAGCATAACCCTAGTTATACATAGTAATACATAAGACTAAATATAAATGAAAATCATCCATCTTTTAGGGGAGGTATAAACATTAAAGCATAAATAAAACATTGACACTTTCATTATTCAAGCAATGTTACACATGTCTTCACCCCTCACTAAAGAGTAAAAGAGAGATTACTCACTCTTCATTGCCATAGACGAGCAAAAAGAGTAAGTGAATCCCATTACAATGAAAATAAAAAATAAAACACCACAAGTCCTTCCCTGAGGAATAATTGAAACAATCTCATTCTTATTACCAAACTAGGGCAACAAAGTGAGATGAGTTTAACCCTCCAAGTAGAAAGAAAAAATAAGAAATATAGAAGAAGATATTTGGCTTAGGAGTGTTTAGGGTAAGGTAATTTCTTCCAAGAGTCTAGCCTTCGAAGGTGGAAGAAAACTTGTTGAAAATGACCCCAAACATGCCTATTTATAGGCCTTCCAAGTTGCTCTAAATCAGTTCAAATAGAACTGATCAATAGGATCACTTGTTGCATCATCCAACCAAAGGGAGAAGATTTTTGGAGTTGAGGAGGTTAAGAGCACTGTCTGGACGCAACCACCACCATCAGGACGGTGGTAACTCTCTGGAATTTTCCTTGAAGCCCTCTTTGTTGAATTTTTGACTTTCAGCAACCTTTGGGATGCTGACTGAACCATCCAGACGCCAGTGAGTTAATGATTTCCTACTTTGTGTTTTCTTTTTGCACTTTACTACCCCAATTCTCCATAATTACATACACAACCCTACAAAACAAAGTTTCCACACATTAGACATAAAACTATTTATCATTTTTGACCAATTACGGCACACAATAAACTCTAAATCCTACATTTATTAAAATTGGCCTGAACATTAACCCGAAAAAAAAATTGGATCAATGGGTCACTAGTTCAATTGTTGGGGCGATCGATCGGATCTGTCATAAAATAAATAATGTTGATCCCATAATTTGTTCACCAAGATGGATTGCCGGAGTTGTGTTCTGGCAACCATTAGGACTTTTCCTGCAAAAGAAGTAGAAGGCAAAAGATGTATTCAAAAAATAATGACGGGGAGAAGTGTATGTAACTTGGAATGGATTACATACCTGGATGATGCATAACATGGCCTTTTTATAGGTCAATGGATTCTACCATTGTAGATCTTCAACATTTATTTGAATGAAATGGCACTGAAAGTGGAACAGAAATTGGCGCCTTCCAGCTTAAATATTTCAACTGGCTTGAATTAGTCAAGCTGAGCCGAGCTGAAAAACTGTCGAGCTAAAGTGCTGGTGAGCAAGGAGCTAAAATTCTTCCAGAGCCCCCCTTATAAAATAAAGCTACAGAGCTTACATGCTCGGCTTGTGCTTTAATTATCATTATCAAATAATAAATGATAATTATTAAAATTAATAATTATGCTAAACATACAATAGTTATAAAAATAACATTGGTTTATGTAGAAACAAAGTTACGCCCCACAACATTAATAATTAGAATTATAGCATCAAAATTAAATGATGATTATAGATCAACAAGACAAGAAGCACATGCCATAAAACAATATCCTTGTATTAGATTGTTTTGTTGATGAGAAGCGACTAAATTAATTAAAAGATTTTAAACGGGCAAATATCAAGGGCTGTTGAGGATCAAACAGTCATTTGAATTTTGAACCTGCAAATTACACAAAGAAAGAAAAGGCTACAAGGCTCTTCACTCCCAATGTGATAAATGAGACAAATCATGCTATTGAGTCTCATAGCAGTGGACTTTTTATATCCCAATCAGTGGTATCAGAGTTGTGGAACCAGTGTGCTAGTCTCAACAAATTGACATTAACAATATATGGATCTAGTATGTAGCAAACACGAATAGCCTATTTAACTAACAGTAATGCTACAATGACCAAATTTTGAGACCAAATCAAGAGCTCAAATGACATGACACCTGACTTGGACTTCTTTATGTGGTGCTATGTCATTTGAGTTTCAATAAAAACTTCAAATAATCAAGTGTCATATCATTTGGGCTCTCAATTTGATCCGAAAATTTGGTCAGTATAGCATTACTCTTTAACTAATGTTGAATAATTCTTATTCTCATTTCTAAATATAGCAAGTATTATGTGGATTGATTTAGAATTTAATGTAGCGACAATACCAAAATACCAACCTGCTCAATCGTCTTAATCTTAAACCTCGTGAGCCTCTTGTCTTGTTGCAGGGAAACGTGAAGAAAATTTTTGAATTAAACAACAAAAATCATAATTTAATGTCGCAATAATACTAAATTATAGCATTCGAGAGCCTTGTTGACTCATAATAAAACCAAGACAATTGAGAGGAGAGAGAAAACATTCTTTGTAATATTACTATCAAGATACCAAAGCTGCTGAATAATATTTATAGCCAAAAATAGAATATGCAGAATTACAAAATATCCCTAAGCACGGATAAAAACAGAAACATGTTTGAAAAGTGGCCTAAACTTCACTTTTTAGCTTAATTAAAAATAACTGAAAAGATTGCAAGAATTTTCCAGAATAGAGTCTTTTATAATTTTTTTGACACTGTCACTAAATTTAAATTTGATTAGTTTATCGATAAACGTCACTTACTCCCTTGTGTTTCGACTGAAAGCACCTTACATACTTGACGTTTAAAATTATGCACATTACCCCTTTATGGTTATGCACCAAAGTGAAGTAATTGATGTCGTTAGTGGAATTAAAAAATTACCATAATACCCATGTTTTAAAATATAACTTTTCATCTGATTTACTGTTGACCATAAAATTAATGGAACATGACAACAAAGCAACACATTTCAATCAAATACGTTGAGTCTCTTTTTCCCTCAAATATGGTTTTGTGCCGGGACCAAAAATAATTTATGTTTTTCTTACATATTTTTTGATTTGGACCGATGTCTTACCTATTTGGGTATGAATATATTATAAAGGATATTTTAAGCACTTTAACAATATTCTTTTGGACGTATGTAGCTCGGTTAACTTAAATGATAAAAATAACCATTTCACTTTGGTACATAACTATAAGGGAATAATTGACATAATTTTAAACGTCAAGTAAATAAGATGCTCTACTCGAAACTATAGCGGGTAAAAAGCAATTTATTCATAATTTTAAATACAACTATCAAAAATACAACAAGCTCACACTTCAATGTTTTGGCATTATAGTCCACATGGAAAATAAAAGTTTGGGTGTAAAAACTACAAATAATGTTAAAACGAAGCACAAGGCTTCATTAGGGTATTTTCTTCTTCTTATAACGTTATAATAAACTACAGTAATTTCATATTAATAAAAAAGGACGGTCTAGTGCATAAGGTGGTTCTATTGTGGGTTTGAGAAGGGTCATAAATACATAGTTTTACCTTAATACAGAGAGACTGTTTCTCAAATCAAAACTTTAATGCCTAAATCATAATGAAACAATCTTAGGGCATAACACCCACCCTCAACTACAGTAATTTTAAATTTCATGTACATTTAAACTTCACCAATTAAAACTCTTGTGGTCTTGTCTCGTGCCCTTGACCAAGACCACAAGGAAGATGTCTCGGTTCTTACTTCTCCCTCTTCTCGCATCTATCATCCATATTTTGACGCTTGACATTTATTTTTTCTATTCATGCTAAAGAATCAATGTAAGGTGTGTATTTTCTTGTGCTTTATTGGTGTAATTGAACAGCACAAACAACAGAAAATTGGGTACCAACTTATTGAATTGTTTGATCAATCTTCCACTTATCTAGAGCGCAAGAATTGAGGGAAATTGCAGGAAAAAAAAACATTCACTTTCATTTTGTAGTTTCAAGGAAAAAAATGTTAAAAAAAGACTGCTTCTTAAAATATTTTGCAAAATTCACTCTGGCACTTTTCTATAATTTTTTTTTTCACAATTTGGCTAAACGATC